CGACGTTATCGCACAAAATAGAAGAAACAGCGATAAGAACAGCAAAATTGCTCAAAGACTGGAACAAGTGGCAGCCATCGAACAGCGGACATGCCAGCATACTGGAAAAACTAGTTCCAGAAACAGAAACGAATTTAAACATGACGATGGAAGCACCGACCGACAAAATATCGCTAACATTCAGATTTGGGAAGAGATTCAAAACTCAGATACCAGGAAGGAAAGAATGGGAAAAAGGAGAACCAAAAGAATACAAAAACTGGACAAAATGGTACACAGACGGCAGTAAAAACGAAGAAGGAGACACTGGATGCGCGTGGATAACAAACGATCCGAATAAAGGCAACAACGAATACCTGGGAAAACACACGACGGTTTATCAGGCAGAAGCAATAGCGATAACAAGATGCGTCGAAGAAATGATAGAAAACGAAACAAAAAACGAATCAATAGTAATATTCACGGACAGCGAATCAACGGTAAAAACCATGGAGAAATCGAGCTTCAAATCAATCGTAGCACTGGAATGCTATGACCGACTAACAAAACTAGCAAAGAAAAACAAACACGTAGTCCTATGCTGGTGCCCCGGGCACAGAGGCATAGAAGGAAACGAAAAAGCAGACCAACTAGCCAAAAAGGCCGTCGAATTAAAAAGAATTGGCACAGAACCATGGACACCTATATCATATGCAAGATTCAAGGCAGAACTGAAGAGCTTTACGTTATCAAGACTAAGAGAAAGATGGACAGAAACAACAACATGCAGACAAAGCAGACAAATGATAAAACAGATAGACACGACAAGAGCAAAAGAAATATTACAAATGCGCAGGTCAGACACGAGAATATTAACGTACATATTAACAGGACACGCGCCCCTCAACTATCACTTATTCAGAATGGGGGTGAAGACAAACGGAGAATGTGACTGCCACACACGAGAAATGCAAACGACAAGACACATACTGACAAGCTGCGACAAATACGCGAGAATCAGGAAACAAATATTTGAGAAAGACTCGATAGAAGAAGACGAGCTAGAAGAGATATCGTACAAGAAAATGATAACATACTTCAAACGCATAAACCCATGGGACGAGACGATAAACATAGACAACGCGAGAATACAAAATTAAAAGAGAGGGGCAACAACCAAGAACGAAAACATTGACAACGCAAAAAGACAAAAACCAAAGGAACAAAAACAGATTCCCTACAACCAACCGACGAAACACCAACCGCAACAAATAAGGGAAAAACAAAACAAGCGACCGACAAAGAAACAAACAAGGAAAAGAAATAAACGACACGAACAGAACAAAACGGGCGGAACGAGAAAAGTCCCGCATACGAAATCCTGAATATCAACAACACGAACCGATAAGAATGAAATAACAAAAGATAACAACGCATCAAAAGAACAAAAAGACAAGAACCCGAATGAAACAACGAACACGAAACACAAAACAGGAAAATACAAAGTAAACAGAAATTAAAAAACAACAACAATAAACACAAACAAACAAGCAGAACAGACGAAAAGACGGAACGAACCAGAAAGACAACCACCATCGAACTCAAACGAACTCGACGAAAGAAAACGGGAAAAATCAAACGAAACAATAAACAATAACAATAAAAACTAACAAACGAACGAAATAGACGGACAAAAGACGCGAAAGAACCGAAAAACACCGACCCCTGGAAACGAAACGAACCCGAAACGCGAAACAAAAATAGACGAGTTACATGGAAATTAATAAACAATAATAATAAACACCAACAAACGAACAGAATAGACGAGAGAACAGGAACGAATCGAAAAGACACCGACCATCGAACACAAACGAATCCGACGAGAGAAAACGGAAAAATCGAACGAAACGATAGGCAATAAACAATAACAATAAAAACTAACAAAAGAACGAAGCAGACGAAAGAAGGAAATGAGCGAATCAAAGAAACACAGATCCCTGAAAACGAAACAAACACGAATCGCGAAACAAGAAAAGACAAAGAAAGCGGAAATCAATAAACAATAACAATAAACAATAACAAACGAGCAGAACAGACGAAAAGACGAGAACGAACCGGAAAGATGCAGATCACCGGGCTCGAGCAAACTCGACGAACGAAAACGGAAAAATCAAACGAAACGAAAGCCAATAAACAATAACAAAAAACTAACAAACGAACGAAAAAGACGGACGAAAGACGCGAACGAACCAAAAGAAACCCCGACCCCCGGAAACGAAACGAACCCGAAACCCAAAACAAGAATAGACGAGGCAAACGGAAACTAACAAACAATAACAACAAACACTAACAAACGAGCAGAATAGACGAGAGAACGGGAACGAATCGAAAAGACACCGACCATCGAACTCAAACGAATCCGACGAGCGAAAACGAAAAAATCGAACGAAACGATAAGCAACAAACAATAACAATAAAAACTAACAAAAGAACGAAACAGATGAAAAAAAAAAGGAAGCGAACGAATCAAAGAAACACGGATCACTGAAAACAAGGCGAACCCGAAACGCGAAACAGGAAAAAACAAGGAAAGCGGAAATCAATAAACAATAACAATAAACAATAATAAACGAGCAGAACAGACGAGAAGACGAGAACGAACCGGAAAGACGCAGATCATCGGACTCGAACAAATTCGACGAACGAAAACAGAAAAATCAAACGAAACGGAAAGTAATAAACAATAACAATAAAAACTGACAGACGAACGAAACAAACGGACGAAAAGACGCGAACGAACCTAAGAAAAACCGACGCCCGGAAACGAAACGAACCCGAAACGCGAAACAAGAATAGACAAGGTAAACGGAAATTAATAAACAACAACAATAAACACTAACAAATGAGCAGAACAGACGAGAGAACGGGAACGAATCGAAGAGACACCGAACATCAAACTCAAACAAATCTGACGAACGAAAACCGAAAAATCGAACGAAACGATAAGCAACAAACAATAACAACAAAAAACTAACAAAAGAACGAAGCAGACGAAAGAAGGAAACGAGCGAATCAAAGAAACACAGACCACGGAAAACGAAACAAACACGAAACGCGAAACAAGAAAAGACAATGAAAGCGGAAATCAATAAACAACAACAATAAACAATAACAAACGAGCAGAACAGACGAGAAGATGAGAACGAATCGGAAAGACACAAATCATCGGACTCGAACAAATTCGACGAGCGAAAACAGAAAAAATCGAACGAAACGGAAAGCAATAAACAATAACAACAGAAAGACACGAACAAACCAAAGAAGCACCAACCCCTGAAAACAAAACGAACCTGGGACGCGAAACAAGAAAAGACGAAGCAAATGGAATCTAATAAACAACAACAATAAAGTCACGAGAACAAATGAACAGTAACAGATAAAAAACAAAACGAAAAACGAAAGAACACACGAGCAAGAAAGAGACAAAAGAAACGTGGGATAAGGAAGGAAAGAAAAGAGAAGAGACCGAGAGACGAACCGGGGAGATTCGGGAAAGAAGCAAGAGCGAAAACAAAGAACATCAGCAGGACAAAACAATAACTAAAGCAGATGCAAAACAACAATACCGACAACGACCACAAAAATCAAACAAACGAAACGAAAGGAGAAAACTAAAACCAAAAAAGAAAGAATAAATCAAAGAATAAAAGAAAGCAACCACCAAACAAGGAAAAAGAAGAAGATACACGAGAGAAACAGAGAAACCACGAGTAAATAAACAGCACCGGGAAAAAAATACAAAAAAAGAAAAAAGGAAAAAAAACAAAATGCAAAGAGAAACAAAAAAGACAAAACAAAAGAAGACAAAGAAACCAACGAAAGGACAGACGATAAAGAAGCCACCCCCCTCAAAAAACGAGGAGACGCACGACATACGAATATAGCAACGGAGCAATAAAAGACAAAAGGGGCAGCGACACACCTGACAAAAATCCCAAACGTCGAAGCATAAAACACGACAATCCACGAAAACGGGAATACAAACCTAAGAGGAAAACAAGAACCAAGCAACAGACATCTGGCAACGATAAAAAAATAAGACAAACAAAAAAGCAAGGACGGCAGGAAACTCGACGGAAAGACCGCAATAAAAATAGAAAGAACGATAAAGGACCAGGAAAGACGCAGTGCTTAACGCGAAAGGATAAGACACCCCCTATACTCTGGACAAACACCCGAAACGGCTCAGACTCAATGACCCACAGCCAAAATAGATAGAGTTAATAAAACGACGAGCAACCAGCAAAAAACTGGAAATAAAGAATCAGAAAACGAAGGGTAGACTCGCAACTGAAAACCCGAAAAACGAGAAACAAAGGCAAGAAGAGAGAAGAGTACGTGAACAGGAAAGCCCGCAAAAGGAGGAGAACCAGTGAACAAAACAAAGAAAATTAACGCAAAAACAAAGAAAAACGCAACAAAACGACACGAACAAAAAGAAAAGAACAACGACAAGAGAAATAACAAGGTGACACTAACGAGCAAAAAAAAAAAAAGAAGAAAACGCCCCACAAAGACGAACATTCAAGAAAACAACAGAAGGAAAAAAATAAAACAAACGAATAAATAAAAGCACCGCTGGCCAACCGACCACGCACGAAGAAAACCAGCAGAGAACCAGCCGGAGAAAGAGAGAGAACATAGACACAAAAGATTAGAAAAGAAATGCCAGATCAGCGAAACGACAGAGAAACAAAGCCACCACCAGAGAAAAATCCTAAGACAATGAAAGGATTAAAAGCGGAACCCGAAGGCCAAATGACCGTCAGGTAAACACACCACGAACGAACGACGACCAGACAACGCACACCTGAAAGCAATTAAAAGAAAGAGGGAAGACAAAGCCAAAACGGAAAAA